ATGATGTATGTATGGATGTATGGATGAATAATGAATGGATGGATGATTGGATGATGAATGGATGGATAGATGAATAATGACTGGATGGATGGATGATTGGACAGGTGGATGGATGACGAATGGATGGATAGATGGATGATGAATGGAACAATATTACGCTTTCACCTTCGGAGGCGGATGAAAATAAATCATTTATGTGGTATATTTCATCAGTTTTCCTCTGACCTGTAGAGCTGCTTCCGTTTGTCTTTGCTGAGCGGACCCAGCTGGTCCTGGTCTAGAGACAACCAGGCGTGGAAGCTGAAGGCAGATCCCGGCCAGCGCTGCACTGTTGGAACCACAATGCCGGCCATGCTGGGTGACAAATCAAAGTACTGCATGGCGCTCTCAAGCCCCTGCTTGCGAACCATGATCAGGAGGGCTCTGACAGCCGGGTTTACGTATGGATGGGCTTGGTTGGACTCCGTAGGCCTGAGGAGACGCAGGAGTCCGAGCAGTTCTTTGGAGCTCAGAGACTGAGAGCCCAGTGAGCCTACTAATCCAAACAGACTTTCAGCGCAGGCCCGGTGGAGTCGTTCATGGCGCTCCAGAGCAGCTAAAGCCTGCAGGACCATGGCGGCGTTGACACAGGTGGCCCGGGTCTGCCGGTTCAGGCAGCTCAGACGGCGGAGCCAGTCCGCAGTAAAGAGCTGCAGTTCTGACGAGTCCAGCTCAGGAAGCCACTGGACCAAAAGCAGCAAAGGCTCCACGTTACTAATACCAAGGAGCCCCACGGAGGTGTGCTCACCCTCCACTGCCTGAAAATGCACAAAGAAAACAAAACAATCATGAAATTAAATGTAGAGACAGCCAGAGATTTAAAAAGACATATTTTACCATGTTCATCAACTCTTTGAGAAGGTGCCGGGATGGCTGGCCGAGTGAAATCAAAACTTCGAACAGGTGATTGTAACCAATCCTCTCCTTAAAAACCTCCTGCAGCGGCACAAAAAGGAAGTAAAGCAGTTGACCGTTTATTAAAAACGAAAAAAAGAAACTCAAACGTTTCTTTTCACGTTCTGTTAGTAAGCTCAGTAAACGACGACCACAGTAGTCCCTTGGCTAAGTCGCGGTTCGACTTTCGCAGACTCGCTCTGTCGCGGTTTTTCAAAGTAAGCGTGGACACGAGAAAATAAATTGTACACGACACACGATTGTCACCTTTAATATTATTCATGTGATTGGGACAGTACGGGATACTGAACAGAAAAGTTAATGAAAATACTTCGGACAGGCGCCGCCATTTTGTAGTTTTCTCTCAATAAGCCTACACTGTTTTCTCACGCACAGTGACTACATTTCCCAGAAGCCAACAGGGCCCCGCTTCTTCAGAAGATTCAGAGAGCGGCACGAAAGCCACGTAACCGGCGCAGAACCGGACCTCCAGACCCATCGGTGAAGCTTGAGAGCTGGTAGCCGTCCCACGAGGACTTCCGAGCGGGACGCCGAAGGTCAGGCACTCCATCCGGAGCCTACCACCACTACCCCGAGCCAGAGAGCTGACCAGAACCGGCACGGTAGGTCCGCCAAACGGAACCAAGTAGGATCGGAACAGCAAGAGCCCGGTAAGTAAAAATTAGTAAATTACATATGTTTAAGAGTTTAGAAAGGGTTTCTAAAGCATTTAATATATATAAATACTAAAATAAATATCACGTTGCTACTTCGCGGATTTTTACTCATTACGTGGGAGGGAGGGCCTCTGGAACGTACTGTAATTTTTGCTGTCTAAGTCGCAGTTTTTTGCGTAAATTAGCACGCCTGTGACGTATACAGCGAGGCAACGTATTTATGTTTTGTTCCCATATGTATAACCCAATTTTTGGCCGAGATCTGACGAGTTCATTCATTCTGACATGGAAAATATTGAACACTACCATTTTCAGCCACTAGAGGGCGCTCGACTAATATGGCAATCCTAGTGTCTCATTACCTGGCTATAAATGAGACACTTGGCTTGCCATACCAAAGCCACCTGCGTCTCGCTCAGGAACTCCCGGAGCAAACGTCAAATCAGCTGCATTTCGTCACGCCGCCCGGGAGAAATGCAGCTGATTTGACCATTAAAGTGCATTTATTAAGGAAAAGTTAGACTGAGCAAACAAATAATTGTTTTTAAGTGGCTATCTTGTTAAATTCTTGTTAAAGTCCTCCCATGCACGCTCCTGCATCCGCCGTTTGGCAGCCAATCGATTTTTGGCACAACACCAGCCCACATTTCTGGGTTGTCAGCGGTGACGCATAATAGATGCGACGTATACGGTGAAGCGACGCATTTATGTTTTTTTCCCCTCCACTTTATTGGACATTTTTGGACTGATGCGACTTACAAGGCGGTGCGATGTGGACGTCGGCAACTACGGTAATCCCCGCAATAAACGAGGGACTACTGTAATCCTTTATGCTGATGATTTACGATTTATATATATAAATATTTGTAAAGACAATAACCTTTGCAGCTGGTGATTTATGCATCACAGTGGTCAGGGCTTTGATGGTGGCTACAGACAGGCAGTCTAATCGCCCTTGTAACACCTGAAAGAAAAACAAAAGGTCATTCACTTGAAACAATTGATGTTTTGAAAAGGCAAAAATATATTTTCTTATTATAAATGACTGTTTATGAATGAAAAACAAGCATGCAGATAATTAAAAGCATCAAATATGCCATCATGACAAATGATCTGCTTATTTAAGGGTTTAAAACAAAACACGTCACAAACACAAGCTAATTTCATGCCTTGGATTTAGGACTGGGCGATATATCGAGTATATCCAATATATCGGAAGTTTTCTATTGTGTGAAAACAAATAGAAAAGTTTTTAAAAAATTACGTTATTTCTTAGAATGAGTTTCTAATTCACGGAGTTTAGCTTTTCCCAGGTGCTTCTAATTTATCACAGCTTTCTCCCCCTCCCAGCAACCTTAGTTTCTGGAGAACTGCTCAGCGGTGTTTACGTGTTGGAAACAAGAAGGAGATCTCAATAAAGCTAGTCATTTTTCAGAGGCGGTAAATTAATAAACAAACGATGTGTTTATAATGTAAACAGTGTTGAACCGTTCACCCGTGAGCAGTTTGAATTTCAGAGGAGAACTTTGAACAAACAGATTTATTACTGGAACTGGATGCTTTCTGAACAAGAGGGAGGTCTTCAGTTGGAAAAGAGTGGATCGCCCTATCCGGGTTCGGGGTGAGGTTCTGCCTCAAGTGGAGGAGATCAAGTATCTCGGGGTTCTGTTCACGAGTGAGGGAAGAATGGCGCGTGAAATCCACAAACAGATTGGCACAGCTGCCAAGGTATTGCGGACTCTGTGCCGGTCCACTGTGGTGAAGAAGGAGCTGAGCTGCAAGGCAAATTTCTGTTCATCGGTCAGCCTACATTTCATTCCTACCCTCACCTATGCTCGTGAACTTTGGGTAGTGACCGAAAGAATGAGATTGTGGATACAAGCGGTTGAAATTAGTCTTCCATGCACGGGAGCTGGATCATCTTTAGAGACAGGGTGACAAGTTATCAGGGAGAGACTCGGGGTAGAGTTGCTGCTCCTCCACATCAAAAGGAGCCAGTTGAGGTGGTCCAGGCATCCTGAAAAGATACCTCCCTCGATTCCATCCTGTGGGCCAAGATGAGGTAGAGGAAGGACAGATGACTTGGGACCAGATATTCGCGGTTCGACTTCCAGCCATTCCCTCATTCCGTGATGTCGCTGAGCAAGACACCTAATCCCAAATTGCTCCCTGGGAGCTCAATAGCTGCCCATTGCTCCACCTGGGTGTATCCCAGGTGCGATGAGTTACATGCAGAGAACCAATTTCATTATTGTATGGGAACATACAGGGAGGAGACCCGGGGGAAGACCCAGGACACGCTGGAAAGACCGTCTTTTGGCTGGACTGGGAACATCTTGGGGTCCTCCCAGAAGAGCAGGAAGAGGTGGCTGTGGAAAGAGATGTCTGGGCCTCCCTGCTTAAGCTGCTGCCTCTGCAACCCGACTCCAGTACAGGCGGAGGATAATGAATGGATGTCCGCAAGATCATAAGGTTCCTGGTTTAGGACGGTCACCTTTTTACCATCTACTGTATTTTCTGGCGTATAAGTCGCAGTTTTTTTGCATAGATTTGTCAGTCCTGCGACTTGTACGCCGAAGCGACTTATGTACGTTTTTTTCCATACTAATAACGCAATTTTTGACCGACGCTTTAAATTTCGAAGAGCTGTAACAATGAGTCCTCTCGTGCGAGCTTGCTTCACTCAGCTGGTGAAGGCGAAGGAACGCTGGAGAGCTAGTGGCTCCGGTCGCGATGGATGGATGGTGCTACGCCACCCAGGCAAAATGAAGCTGTTCTGGCCATTAAATAAACGCATAATAAACGCCGCAAGTCAGCGGTGACACATAATAAATGCGACTTGTACGCCAAAGCGACTTAGATATGTTTTTTTTCCTCTTCATGATGCTTTTTTGGACTGATGCGACTTATACTCGGAAAATACGATATATCGATCTGGGCTTTCTGAAAGCAGCATGCTGATAATGTTAAGACTGGAAAGTGTTAACGGTCGAGTGTAATGCTGTTATGGCTAGTATCACTCAGCCCTCTGTGAATAACAAGCGGCCATCAGGGCACTAATGATCAGTCGTTAGGCTGATGGTCGTCATTTTGCATGTTAGCTAGTTTTGACCGTCACCTGCAAACTGGTTGCTCCACTATGAGAAGGTGCTTTTTATAAGATGGAGTTTATTGCAGCTCCTCAGACTGACAAGTATTTTGGATAAAAGACAAAATGTTTCAACAAAAAGAATCAATCCAGATGTCCTGACTTAATTTTGTTAGCTTGTTAACTGTAGTTTCTTCAAAACCTCGGGTGGCTGAGCCATAGATTCCCAGTTCATTACTAAATTATGATTAATAATGAACTAAACAATATGACAAAGCTGCAAAATACTGCAACATTATCCAACAATGTTCAGTCAGGTCATATGGACGGTTTCTGCTGCTGAGACATTTCGTCCTTCATCCAAAGGACGTCTTCAATCTGCAGAGATTGGAGATCTCAGCAAACAAAGAAACTGTCCAGATGACTTGACTGAAAATTGCTGGATTTTATACCTGGACTACTGAGCATGAACTTTGGTATTTTGAACCACTTTGGCATGTCTCAGAGGAGTTGATGGGGGAGAGGGCGTGCCCCGGAGGAGAGGGCGTGCCCCGGAAGCCATCTTAGCATCAGCAAACTGTTTTTTCCACTATGGAGTATGCCGTTTGTGGGAATCAGTTTTGTTCGGTGGCTCCTCAGATTGAAGAAGTCCTTTGGATGAAGGACGAAACATCTCAGCAAAGAAAGAAACCATCCAGATGACCTGACTGAACATTGTTGGATTTTTTTACCTGGATTATTGAGCATGGACTTTGGTGGATTGCAACATGAAATTTGGTTGTATCGCCCAGTCCTACTTTTAAGTTTGATTCAGTTAGTCTGTGAAAGTAGATCACTGGCAGCAGTTTAAAAAGCTGGTTCGTCGCAGCCGTACGAGCTGGCATCAAAACTCCTGCTGCGAGTGTTTACACTGACAATATATGGAAGTGTCGTCTTTCTGCTCCAGGTCAAAAAAGCAGAAGCACACAGACGTGACTGGAGCAGGAAGCTCACAAACATCCAAAACACAACCAAGTTACTTCCCAACCCACAGAAACATAAACACACTCGGCATGCAACACATAGAAAAAAGCCAAACCATGACACAAACATGGGAGTCTTGAACCAGCTGGGGAGAAACTGTGGCAACACTTACGCCTGTGTCTCACCGTTCTGCGACTGTTGGCGAGGGCATTTGTGAGGGAGCTTCTAAAATATCTCAGAACATTGCAATGGTTCTCAATTTCTTTACAGAAGTCGTGAGACCTCAAAATCCAAGGACCTTGAATGTTTAACAAGGTTAACTCTTTCAAAATTACCAAGAGCCGCTCCTGGGACCCGTCACAATTTAGTTTCTGCAAAGTGCGAGAGACGTAATGCAACTTTGGAAGGAATCGGCAAAACATGAAACCAACTAGTGATTGAACGAACAAAACAAAGAGCATTGTGATCAAATTGAGACATTAAGAAACTTTGTGACTAAACTGAAAACAATAAATTTTGCTCGTCAACCACAGGAAGGTTGTTGGAATGCCAATTTCTCGGTATTCAAATAGGTATTTTCCTGGTAGTTTCTCACCAACAGTCGCCAAACCGATGAGATACCGCCACCCAGCCACCCAGTCCAGATCACAAAGTAGAGCGGATAAATAGAAACATGGTGCAAATTGTGATACAAGCACCAAATTTGGTATAATTCTCTTTGAGGCTTTGCCTGTAGCTTTTTAGCTAACGCGTCTGTATTGCACGCCGCTAGCTTAGCGCTACGTCAGTGCCGGAAATTGTTGAGGGGGAGGGGGGCAACTCTGTGGACAGGGCGGGGGGCCCTCGTTGTATAATGAAAGGGGAAACGCTGGAAATGCAATTACTTGATCCATTTGAATGATCTTTGTGTGAATTTATGTTTTCTCCTTTTACTTTGCAAGAGTATTGAATAGGGATGCATGATATTGGATTTTTGGCTGATATCCGATATGCCGATAAGCTAAAACTTATTTGGCCAATAACCGATACCGATACCAATACCGATATTTTCCCCCTAGACCTACTCGCATAGCTTTCTCTACTGTGGAATGAAAGTACATTATTCTGCATGGTCTTGTCAGTTTGGCCTGCTACCAAATGTAGAAGGGGCTGAAAATGATGTAACACTTCAACTTGGATTATGTTTAATGTCAAATGTATTAATCACATTTACTCTCCAGCACAATGACTTGACCAGTGCAAATCTGTAAATTTTCACAAAACTAAACTCAACGTTGTGCTGGTGCAGCAGGCCTACTGGTCACTGGGTTGTCATACAAAAACAGCGCATTTTATATCTGTGAATTATTCTGATGGAATGGCTGATGTCCGATATTTAACTTTATCGCTAATATTGGCCGATACCGATACCGTGCCGATAATATTGAGCATCCTTAGTATTTAAGGCAACTGGTGGAAGAGTAGTCGCGAGATCTGCCACGCGTCTCCTTTCTGATTCCAACTCCAGTCGGCAGCACTAACAATGAATTTGTCAGCCATTTTGAAAACTGGACATCGTCTTGGCCTCTCAGGTAGAACTGCTCAGAAGACTTTTGGGAACAACCATGCCAAAATTGGTGCTTGCGCTACATTTTGTACGACTCTTGTGCAAAGTTGATTTTAGCTGCTTCGCTAACATCGAACAGCTGAACTTTGTAAAAGCGCACCCAAGAACATAGTGACAGTAATCCAGACGAACCCAAAGTGTACCGCAACAAACCAGGAGGATGTGCAATAAGAAGTGTGGGGAAACTGAAATTGACAATTATGTCAAAGAAATAAAAAGCAAAGAAGTCATTCCACAACAAGATGCCGTTCAGACCAGAATTACACTTTATTTCTCCAAACTGAAGTCGTCTAAAGAGCCATCTACAAGAGGTACTTTCCCACACTACCCCACTTTAAAAAAAAAAAGTATAAATTTATGGTATTTTTAGAAGCAAGGCAGGACAAGGGTCTTGCTGTGAAGTGACTTTGTAGCTCAGGTGGGATGAAGGGTGGGACTTGGCAGGACATGGGTGGGACTTTATCGTCTGTACCTGAGCGTCCCTCTCTCCTGTCTGTAACCTGCTGTTGGTTATATCTTTCTGGTCCTTGTCTGCCGCGGTGCACCTAGCATTAACCAGCTGACACACAACAGGCAACATGTCAACTTAGCGTGAGGGGAAGTCAAGAGAAGGACATGGAGCGAGATGAGGACGGTGCGTCGGGAGGAGGAAGGAAGGATGTTGTGAGTGGAGCAGAAGGTGTGAGGTTAAAAGCCATGACCCTCTGAAAGGTGTTCCAGCCTTGCTGTGAGGAAGTAAAAACATGCAACGTGGGCAAAACGCTTCATGTCGCACTGAAACTCTGACAGACTGCAGCGGATAGACGAGAAACTGATACAATGTACAAAACACGGGAGGAAATGTTCTCATTTCTCCTGCTTCCACCTGTGCATCATCCCTACAATTAGACATGTGTTGTCCCAAAATGACACCAAAAACAAAAGCTGGACTACTGTAATTCTTTATCATCTGGGTGGCCCGAAAAACTATTTAGAAGTCTTCAGTTGCTGCTGATAAAGTTCTGATGAGAAAAGTGGATATCATATGTCTCCAGGTTTAGCTTCTCTCCATTTGCTTCCTGTCAAATTGAGAATTGAATTTTAAATCCTACTTCTAACCTACAAAGCTCTCAACAACCTAGCTCCATCTTATACAGATCTTATTGTTCCCTATTTTTCAAACAGAGCTCTTCACTCTTTGACTGCAGGTTTATTTGTGGTTCCTGGAGCTTCTAACAGTATAATGGGAAGCAGAGCTTTTAGTTCGGACTACTCTCTTGTGGAACCAACAAAGCTAACACTTTGTCTAATTTTAAGATTAGGCTCAAGACTTTTTTAAAATAAATCCTATACTTAGTGTTGGCTTAGGTTTCCTCAGCTATCCCTTAGTTATGCTGCTGAAGGCTTAGACTGTCTAACCTACAAAGCTCTCAACAACCTAGCTCAATCTTATATTACAGATCTTATTGTTCCATATTTTCCTAACAGAGCACTTCACTCTCAGAAGCTCCAGGAACCACAAGTAAACCTGCAGTCTAACAGTAGAATGGGAAGCAGAGCTTTTAGTTCCGACTAGTCTCTTGTGGAACCAACAAAGCTAACACTCTAATTTTAAGATTAGGCTTAAGCCTTTTTTTTATTTTTATAAATCCTATACTTAGTGTTGGCTTAGGTTTCCTCAGCTATCCCTTAGTTATGCTGCTAAAGGCTTATACTGTCTAACCTACAAAGCTCTCAACAACCTAGCTCCATCGTAAACAGATCTTATTGTTCCATATTTTCCTAACAGAGCTCTTCACTCTCAGACTGCAGGTTTATTTGTGGTTCCTGGAGCTTCTAACAGTAGAATGGGAGGCAAATCTTTTAGTTCCGACTAGTCTCTTGTGGAACCAACAAAGCTAACACGCCGTCTACTCTTAAGATTAGGCTCAAGACTTTTTTTTTTTTTTTTACAAATCTTATAGTGTTGGCTTGGGTTTCCTCAGTTAACCTGTTAAGCTGCTATAGGCTTATACTGTCTAACCTACAAAGCTCTCAACAACCTAGCTCCATCTTATATTACAGATCTTATTGTTCCATATTTTCCTAACAGAGCACTTCACTCTCAGACTGCAGGTTTACTTGTGGTTCCTAGAGTTTCTAACAGTAGAATGGGAGGCAGAGCTTTTAGTTCCGACTAGTCTCTTGTGGAACCAACGAAGCTAACACGCCGTCTACTTTTAAGATTAGGCTCAAGACTTTTTAAAATATAAATCCTATAGTTGGTGTTGGCTTGGATTTCTTCAGCTATCCCTTAGTTATGCTGCTATAGGCTTAGACTGCTGGAGGACAAACTGACTCTCTGCTGTTCATGTCTGTTTCTGTCATTAACAGGTTTGTCTTTCTACCCATAGAAACTACAAATAAACCACTTCCAGTTTGTCCAGGTCTCTTTCCTGTCCTCTAACGTCAGCTAGTTCAAGCAGATGGTCACGCAGCCTGGTTCTGCTGGAGGTTTCTTCCTGTTAAAAGGAGTTGTTTCTTTCCACTATCGCCAGTGTGCCGCTCAGGATGGGAGGTTGAGACGACATGCCCGATGGCTTTCTTGGCTTTTGACTAATTAGCATTTTATAATGAACTGAATCTGTTTCGTTTACAGATCGATCTGATCGATTGAAATGGATTTATAATTTGGACTTGTTACTCCTTTGCTCAGTGCTCTGAGATAAAATAAAAAAAAGAATGGACACTTGATAAATAAACTGAATTACATTATTTTAAGAGATTCACAGACTAATTTTTAGCCCACTTTATAAATTTCTGTAAAGTCATGAAATGCTGATTCTGGTTTCGGTAGATTCCTTAGAATGATAAATAACAGGAGAAATTTTTCTGATACTTTCAGCTAATTTCAGCCGTTTTGTGCTCCTTTCAGCTTCTTTCTGCTAATTACAACATTTTTGCGCTTCTAAATTATTTCAGCTTGTCCTCCTTTCAGCAAGTTTTATCTTTTTCTACTTTTTCAGCTACTATTTAGCTGTTTTTATGCTAATTTTAGCTTTTTCAGCCAATTCCACGTTTTCTGCACTAATTTAAACTTTTTTTAACCCTAATTCAGCAAAAATTAGCTCTCTCTGCTTCCTTCTGGTGATTTAAACTTCTTTCTGCTTTTTTTTAGCTACTTTTCAGCTGTATTTTTAACAATTTCAGCTATTTTCAGATAATTTCCACGTTTTTTTCTTCTCATTTCTGCTTCTTTCAGCCTAACTGGGCAAATTGCTCCCTCTACTTCCTTCAGCTAATTTAAGCTTGTTCTACATTTTCAGCTAAATTTTTTAGCATTTTTAGCTAATTTCAGCCTTTTTCAAATAAATTCAAGTTTTTCCAAGGTAATTTTTGTTACTTTCAGCCTAATTAACTTATTTATGGTCATTTCAGTTTGTTATGCTCCTTTCAGCTTTTTCTGCTATTTCAGTTTTTTTTTTTTTTTTGGTTGCCAATTTTAGCCTTTTCAGCAAATTCCTCATTTTTAAGCACATAGCAGATCTTTCCATTTCCTTCTGGTAGTTTCAGCTTCTTTCTGACTTTTCAGCTTCTTTTCGGCTACTTTTTGCCAATTTCAGCCTTTTTTTGTTGCCAATTTCCTAATTTTTGTGCTCGTTTCTTCTCATTTAACCTAATTCAGCAAATGTGTGTTCATTCTGTTTTCTTCTGCTTATGTGGGCTTGCTCTTCCATTTCAGCATGTTTTTTTGTAGCTAATTTCAGCTGTTTTTAGCAAGTTTTTCTGCAATAAGCAATAATTTCTCTAGTTTATTATGTGTCTGATTGGGAAATAATTCTATTTTTTAAATATCTATATGTATGGATAAACGTTTAAATCAATAACCAGGCAACCAACGTGCGTGTGCATGAACAAAAAAACAAACTTGGTGACCGCCGGTCAAAGAGAAAACCGTCCGATCATCAATGCATTTCTATTATTTTATTTTACAATTTATTGAAAACACAAAATCTAAACTAATGCAACTTTTTTTGTAAACGCTTCAACAAACCTCACTTCCTGTTGGAGTCTGAAAACAGCCTTTGTCTTTTTAGAACAGGCTGCGGAGACTTATCGAGTACAATCGATGGGTAAAGACAAAGCTTCGACCGTTTCACCGCTCGGCGCTGAAAACGAGCTCGGAGTTAGAAAAGATCCGCCTGAAGCCGAGACGCAGCTCCGGTTCTTACCTTGCTGTTCTGCAGCAGTCGTATCAAATGCTCAAAACAGTTACTGTTGAGGAAGATGGCTTGTAGAACGGGCCTGTCGGAACACAGGAGCATCTCCCTGATGGTGTCTGGACGGAGACAACGGAGATCAATACAGACGGCAGGAACAAACAGGTTCAAGGGAGCTAAAGTCCTGGACTTCACCTAACATGTGGACTTGCAGCGCCACAAACCGACACTCCCAGTGTCGGCCCAGAGTGGACGCTCGGCCCTTGGCTTGCTGCTGCTGTCGGGCCGAAACGACGGCCGCCGGGTCCGAGTTGAGCAGCTTGAAGTAATTCTCTAGAACGGAGACGATTTCCACCTGCCGCTGGTCGGAGCTGGAGGCCAGGAGGCACTGCACCACCTCCCTCAGGCAGCCCAGAGTCAGCAGCGCCATGGGGCCGACGACCTCGCTGTCCCAGTCCTCGGCTTCGGCTGTAGAGCTGCTGCCCGTGTAGCTGTCGGCCAGCACCCGCATCAGCACCTCCATGGTTGCTGGAGAGATGGCGTGCAGTGCATTCCTCTGACGGGGACACAGACGCAAATTAAGTTGTTTTTTTTTTTTGGGGGGGGGGGGGGACATAGGGAAGACAAGTCAAAGAAACTAAAATGATTCAACTAGAATTTCTTGCCTTCCACGCCAGTTTTGGACTAAAACAAAACATAAGTTGAGCAATAACATTTCTATGTTGGCTACTGTTGCTGGACGGTGGCGGCCATCTTGAATTGACTCCAACAGCTAAATGAGATGTACGGTCCTGTAGCGGCACATCGAACGCACGTCTGCATCCAATACTGTGAATGTTTGTGAATTATTCACTCGATTCTCATCCATTTTTATTCTGTACGTTTTCCTGCGGCTTTCTCGTTCCACAGTTTGAGCCATTTAAACAAACGTTCAGCTCGTTCAGGCGAAGGGTGCTCTGACTTTTGGTATTGGTGCAACTTTAGCTTTTTGAAGTATTTAGCCTTTGCTGCCCCCCCCCCCCCTCATAGAAAATGAATTGATCTCATTTACGTCCTTCACATCTTTAGAGCCGTTTACCTTTTACTGCTCCTTTCACATTTTGTTCTGGTTCAGCTGCTTTTAGCTTCCTTGTGCAAATTTAAACTTTTTTTAAGCTACTTTCTGCTGTTTTGTGCTTCTTCTAACTTGTTTCTGCCAATTTCAGCTTATTATGCTTCTTTCAGCTTATTTATGCAAGTTTCAGTTGTTACTGCTATTTAAGCTACTTTTTAGCTGTTTTTATGCTAATTTTACTTTTTTTTAGCCAATTCCATTTTTTTTTTTGCACTCATTTCAACCTTTTCAGCAAAACTGTGCTCTCTCCACTTCCTTCTGGTAATTTAAGCTTCTTTCTGCCTTTTTTTTTAGCTACTTTTCAGCTGTTTATTGCTAATTTCAGCTTTTTTTCAGTTAATTTCCACTTTATGTGCTTATTTCTGCTTCTTTCAGAAAACATGTCCTTTAAGCTTTCTTCTGCTTATTTAAGCTTTTCCTATATGGGCCCTTGAGCAACCCCCACCCTCTGCTCTCCTGGGCGCCTAAACAGCAGCTCTCTGCTCCACCCAGAGAGCTGTGGTAGCTCCGTGATCTGTGATTGAGTCATGAAGGGCATCCTGCGGAAAAAAATTATTGCCATGTCTTTGTGCGACGTAGTTCCCTGTGGCGACCCTGAAGAAGGGAGCAGACGAAAGAAGAAGAGGAAATTAAAGCTTTTTCTACTTTTAAGCTACTTATTTTTTAGCATTAGTAGCTAATTTCAGCCGTTTTCAGACTAATTCGATTTGTGCTCATTTTAGCTTATTATGCTCCTTGCAGCATTTTGTCTGATAGGTTCAGCTTTTTCAGTCATTTCAGCTACTTTAGCTTTTTTGTGCTAACTTTAGCATTTTCAGCTAACTCCACATTTTTTAGCTCATTTCAGCTCCTTCCACTTCTTTCTGGTAGTTTAAGCTTCTTTCTGCCTTTTCAGCTACTTTGATAATTTCAGCTATTTTTTAGCTAATTTCTGTGCTAATTTAAGCTTATTTAAATTCAGCCAATATGTGTTCTTTCTTCTTTCTTCTGCTAACTTGGGCTTTTTCTTCCATTTCAGCTACATCTCAACATGTTTATACTGGTAGCTAATTTCAGCTTTTTTCAGATAATTTCCACTTTTGTGCTCATTTCTGCTTCTTTCAGAAAACATGTTCTTTCTGCTTTCTTCTGCTTATTTAAGCTTGTTCTACTTTTCAGCTACTTATTTTTAGAATTTTTTTTTGCTAACTTCAGCTGTTTTCAGATAAATTCAAGACTTTCGTGGTAATTTCTACTAATAACTTCTTTCTGCTAATTTCAAATCGTTATGCTCCTTTCAGCTCATTTCTGCTTTTTCAGCTACTATTGAGCTTTTTTTGGTGCTAATTTTAGCATTTTCAGCTACTTTTTTTTATAGCTCATTTCAGCTCCTTCCACTTCTTTCTGGTAGTTAAGCTTCTTTCTGCTTTTTCAGCTACTTTGATAATTTCAGCTTTTTTTTTTTTAGCTAATTTCCCAATTTTTCTGCTCATTTTTGATTTTTTAAACCAAATTCAGCAAATCTGTGTTCCTTCTTTCTTCTGGTAACTTAGGCTTTTTCTTCGATTTCAGCTACATTTCAGCATGCTTTTAGCTAATTTCAGCTGTTTTTCAGCAATAACCATTCACACTGCATTTTTGCAGGAAATGCAATTTTTCTTGTTATAAAAAATAAACATGCCTGTTTTTCTGAAAGCGGACGAAAGTGTTTGAATTTTTAGACGGAGTAGTTTTGAAAACTGTAATAAAACGTTTCAAACCTCAATGTTTAACTGAAACTGAGAAAAATGAACAAATATTGACCAAATACGAGGCTGCTCGTCTGTTTTGTCTCAAAGTACCTGATCTCCAGCTACTATAGCTCCAAACAGGTGCAGGAGGCAGCATTTCAGACTCTCCTTCAGGTGCTCGCTCTCCTGAAAGCACTCTGAAACGAAAACACAAACGTGAGCGCTTTTATTCTGAAACCTGCAGATGGAACTATTGGGCTTTATTTTTTAATGGCTGCACGCAAAATGACGTCTTTGTCGGCTCATTCTCACACGAGGCAGTCGATAAACCTGCAGCACAGACAGGATCAAATCTGGCACGGAGCACCGATACGCTCAGGCATGTGGTCATTAACCTTTGGGCCACGACGGCTCGAGTCATCCATTAACTCATCTGTCAACACAACTCTGGCTCCATGACGTCTACATTCTCTCTCTTCACGGAGCGTTACAGCTCTTGCACTACATGTGAAACGATACACTTAAAAAGGAAAGTTTTCTGACAAATAAAAAATTGCTTGTAAAACAATCAAAACACAGACACCATCTTCGATGCACAACCGCAGCAGCTGTGCGCGCACACAGGACAGAAAGGACCATTTGTTCAGAACGGCCGCCGGCATGGCTCAAGTGCCGTTCGCTATCTGCTCATCTCAACGGCCGGCTGACAGACTGAAGGCACAAAGAGCGGATTCATGCCGGAGAGGAACGAGGAAGACGAGGCACGGGAGCTCGAAGGTGGAGACGTGCAGCTGACGACGGATTCCTCGTCAGCCAGCGTTCGTCGGGTCAGTCAAAAGAAGACGAGGCCATCGGCGCTCATCAGCCACAACAATAAAACCACTGACAAAGATTAAACACAGTGGGTCAGAAGTTTACATCCACCCACCAGGAACAGGAGTCTTTCATTTTGGGTCTTCATTGATTTATTTGAAAACCACTTCAGGGATTTCAACAAGAACTGGGTGCACCCGTTTGAATTTGTTCTATATTCAACATCAAGGATTTTATTTCAACATTCGTTCAATCTTTATTTAGACAGGTTAATCCCATTGAGCCTCGGAGACTCATTCACAAGAGAGACCTGATGTCGACAACAATAGACAATCATAAAGGACGTAAACAAATTTATTTATTTATTTTAACAAGTGAAAATAAAATGGTAACTAAAAGGATAATTAAAAGGAAAAGTAGCGAAAAAACAGCTAGGTTGTAAGTTCGGCATCTTTTCGATAGGGGGTACCGCAGGGGTCCATTCTCGGTCCTCTTCTCTTTTCTTAATACCTGCTGCCAATTGGTGCCATTTTTTGTAAACATGGCATACCTTTATATTTCTACACAACGGCTCAGTGGTTAGCACTGTTGCCTCACAGCAAGAAGGTCCTGGGTTCAATCCCCGGTTGGACCTGGAGTCTTTCTGTGTGGAGTTTGCATTTTCTTCTCGTGCTTGTGTGGGTTTTCTCCGGGTACTCCGATTTTTTCCCACAGACCAGAAACATGCGTGTTAGTTTGCCTTCAGGCCCAGGCCACCCTTGCAAAAGAGATCTGTGATCTCAATGGGACTTGTCTGGTTAAATAAAGATTATTAAGAATATCGAAAAAACTTGAATCTGGTCCTCTGGACATTCAAAAAAACAAAACAAAGCAAAACAACAAAAAAATGTAGAAACGTTTCGTCTCTCATCCTGAGGACTTCCTCAGTCTGAGGTGCTGTATTCAGCTCAGTCTCTTAAATAGCACCTTCTCAGAGTGGATCAACCAGTTTTGCTGCTGACAACCAAAACCAGCTGATCACATGCTCAAGAAGGACCATCAGCCTAACAATGGATCATTAGCACACTGATGGCTGTTTACTACTCACAGAGGGCTGAGTGATACTAGCAATCACAGCATTGTAAGAGGGGGACAGTTGAACCCGGAGGCTCCACCCCTGTTTAATGATGGACGGTTTCTTTTCACAAAGATGGCCTCCTTTACTCCTCTCTCAAACCATCGTTCCTCTCTGTCCAGGATGTGCACATCTTCATCCCTGAAAGAGTGACCGCTGGCCTGGAGATGAGTGTAGACCGCAGAATCCTGGCCTGATGATGTTGATCTTCTGTGCTGGGCCATCCTTTTGGCCAGTGGCTGTTTAGTTTCCCCGATGTAAGACTGATCACAGCCCTCCTGACACTGAACAGCATACACAACATTACTCTGTTTGTGCCGGGGGACTGGATCTTTGGGATGAACCAGTCTTTGCCGTAATGTATTTTGGGGTTTAAAAGCCACTGGGACGTTATGTTTAGAAAATAAACGTCTCAGTTTCTCTGATACTCCCTCAACATATGGAATGACCACTGGTCTGGGTCTGAGTTCCTCCTTTTCACCTGATGGCTGACTGGAGTCCTGTTTGGGTTTCTTCTCTGCTTTCAGGAAGGCCCAGTTAGGATATCCACATTGCTCTAGAGCCTGTCTTGTGTGGGATTTCTCCTTCTGCCTGGCTCCTGAGCTAGTGGGGATGCGGTCTGCTCTGTGGTACAGAGTCCTGATGACTCCTAACTTGTGCTCCAAAGGGTGATGGGAGTCAAACTGCAAATACTGGTCTGTGTGGGTGGGTTTGTGGTACACCTCAGTTTGCAAATGTCCTCTATCAGAGACTGAGACCTCACAGTCCAAGAAAGCCAACTTGCCATTTTTTACCTCTTCTTGTGTGAACTTGATGTATTTATCCACAGAGTTGATGTGGTCAGTAAAATGTTGGACTTCCTGAGATTTGATTTTAACCCAGGTGTCGTCAACATACCTGAACCAATGACTTGGTGGTGTCCCTGAAATTTAATTATAATACAGTAGGGCTGGACGATATGGCCAAATCTTTTCTCACGATATATTTCTTAATTTCGGTCGATAATATAATTCCAATATTGTTAAACAACATAAAAGCCTCAGAAAAACTGTACAAACTGTACAAATAAATTAATGTTCACCTTTTATTTTGTATTTAGCCTTCAAAGAAATTTGAAATCACCGTCAAATAAACATAAAACTCTCAACTTTGTCAATATTAATAGTTTTAACTTTAAACAACAACCCGTTTGCTGCGTGCGTTTCTCTTTTGATACAGTTGTTTCAGGGACACGTGGGCTCAAACTGTTATTGCGCTTCATCTTCCGACTCGGCATCTTCTATAGAGTGGAAACTCTTCAGATGGTGGAACAAATTCGATGATGACAAGTTGGATCATTTTGAAGCGAAAACTTACCGCGCGTTGGGAGCTTAGCCTAGCCTAGCCTGCTACCGCTGACTCCTTCTGGATTCTCCTTATGGGTATAAAATAAATTTCAGGCTTTTGATTTTTGTTTGAACCATGAGTGTTGTAAACCTCTGACCGCATATGTACAACGTAATGCTCGTGTTGGGGGAGCCACAGCTCATCACTCTCATGCATTTGCCACCGAACTTATGAAGTACACGTATTTAAAAACAAAAATCAGTCAATGCAAATATGAAGCGGTTATTTTACCTAAAAGATGTGGAGTGGAAAGACTTACGGTAGAAGAAGGGAACAAACTCGACGGTGAGTGGAGCCGCCTTGTACTTCTGCCTGCTCCTCTCTACTGTACCCAGCTGCTCCCTGAAGGAACCAAATTAAACAGAAGTAAACACAGTGGGGAGGATTTGGTTTAACGTTATGTTGACGACACCCTGCTCTATTAATATGTAGCGCAAAAAGAAGTTAATAATCTACCAAAGTTTAAGGCTCGACCTAAAGATGAAAGTTTTAGGCATCATTTGCTCGTTTTCTGCTCCATCCCAGAGTTCTATTCACAAAACAAATCGTACCAAATTTATGCTTTTTGTGTATAATCGCCGTTTTCACTCTACAGTCTTAATATTACCTTCTGCCACTAATGAGTCAGGCAAAAGAGAAAAGAAGTTTCGGTGGATGAAGTGCACACACTCTCCCTAAAACTGCATCAAGCACAGCTCATTGCACCAGGAAGCAATCTCGTTCAGGGTGACATTTCTGGACCAATAAGCATTCCTGGGATTTACCATTAGTGAACCACCCCACTCTCAGGAGACGGTTAATAGTTTACACTAAAAGTGCCACAAGCATCCCCGCTCTTTGAGAACTTGTGCGTTTCTTGCAGAAATAGGAGTCGTCAGTAGTGTCGATTAAATGGCGGCAAACTGTGGAAAAACGCAGAGGGGCAAAGTTCGGGTGGCGGCACAGCTCGAGGCACACATCTCCCTTTGAGACTTCGGTGGACGTGTCGAATCATGCACTTGCTCAAGCTTTCAGTGAACCTGAATGAGAAGAAATTAAACTATGACTGGGACATAATTGTAAATGGTATTTTTTTAATCACGTAACAATAATCAATGCAATAAGCAAAGATCCACAGCAAAAAGGTTTATATTTCATAATTTACTCCTTTGTTGTACGTTCAAAGATGAGCGCAAACTCAAGGTGCAAATGAATTGGTAATAATAATGATTAAATTAAGATAAGATTGATGATAAATAAACAATTAGACATTTTTTTTCCCCCCCAACAAATATTAAATCAAAACGTTCAGCTCTTTCAGGACAATCCTGATATGACTTTTGGTACTGGTGCAACTTTAGCTTTTTGAAATATTTAGCCTTTTCTGACATTTTTTTCCTCATAGAAAATAAATCGAGCTCATTTTACATCCTTCAAATCTTTAGATGCGTTTACAACCTTTAACTGCTCCTCTCACATTTTGTTCTGCTTCAGCTTCTTTCAGCTTCCTGCTGCAAATTAAAAAAAAAAATTCAGCTACTTTCAGCCAATTTCAGCTGGGGGGGGGGGGGGGGTCAGCTGTTTTGTGCTCTTTTCAGTTTCTTTGTTCTAACTAAAACATTTTTGTGCTTCTTCAAATATCTTTCTGCTAATTTCAGCTTGTTAAGCTCCTTTCAGCTGATTTCTGCAAGCTTCAGCTTGTTCTACTATTTAGCTGTAGCATGCTAATTTTAGCCGTTTCATCTGATTCCACTTTTTTTTTTTGCACTCAGTTTTTTCAGCCTAATTCAGCTAATATGTTCTCTCTCCACTTTCTTCTGTTAATTTTTGCTTTGTTCTGCATTTTTAGCTACTTTTCAGCTGTTTTTTTTTTGACAATTTGAGCTTTTTTCAGATAATTTCCCATTTTTTGTGCTCATTTCTGATTCTTTCAGCCTAACTGGACAAACCTGTGTTTTTCTGCTTACTTCTGCTAATTTATGCTTGCTCTGTCGTTTCAGCTACCTTATAAGCATTTTTTTTAGCTAATTGCAGCCGTTTTCTGACAAATTCAAGTTATTCATGGTCATTTTTGCTACTTTCAGTCTAATTAACTTCTTTATGCTTTTTCGCCCCTTTCAGTTTTTTTCTGCTATTTTAGCTATTTAGCCGTTTTATGCTAATTTCCGCATTTTCAGTTAATTCCATATTTTTAGTGCTTATTTCAGTTCTTTCTGCTTAGGTAGTTTAATCTTCTTCCTGCCTTTTCTGCTACTTTTCAGCTATTTATTGCTAATTTCAGCTTCTTTTTTAGATAATTTCAAAATTTCTGTGCTCATTTCTTCTTATTTAAACATAATTCAGCAAATATGCGTCCTTTTTGCTTTCTTCTGCTAATTTAGGCTTTTTTATCCATTTTGGCTACATTTCAGCATGTTTTTAGCTAATTTTAGTCGTTTTTCAGCAAAAAGCTAAAGTTGCACCAATACCAAAAGTCACAGCACCCTTCTGAACGAGCTGAACATTTTGATATACAAAAATTGTTTAACGAGAAAGATGAAAAGGATCTCAGTAGCTATGTTTACATGCACAGAATTCTCTGACCGGATTGAAATGTGTTCTGTTTGAATAATTCAAATGTGTTGTTTACATGGGCACAATCTGTTCATGACGAGCGTTTACATGCAGTGGGCTTTGTTCTGAACAGCAGTACTGACATGCGCAGAGTGGTAAACTCTCCTTAAAAAAACCACCGAAGAAGAAGTTCTACTTCCGGGTGAACGTAAACAAACCTGAGCACCCAAAATGGACCCGCGACAGGTTTTAATGATGGTGGAGACGTTATTGCACTCCCTGACTGAGCTACAGGTAATAGAAATCATTTTGAGCTCTTTAAAAGTTTCTAGTAGAAATGTTGTGTCGCTCACCGACCAGTTTTACTTCCCTGACATGCTAATATTATTAGCGTTAGCCAGGCGGAAATGGCAAAGTCGCACATGCGCAGTCAGGTCAGTTTTTCACCATCAGATAAAAACGAACAGATCAAGCGTTTACATGCGCACCGATCGGGTTTCGGATCGGCGTAAACCACCCGTTTCGTTCTGATCACAAATTATAACGAATCGCGCCGAATACACAAAAAATAACCCGAACGGAGCGTTTACATGACACACTTTTATTCCGACCGGCCATTTGATCCGGTTACTTATGTCCATGTAAACATACCCAGTGTGAATGCTTCATGAACGTTCACACCATCATTTATCAACCATACGCCAATTCGGCCTGTCACGATAAATTTTGCTGGGCGATTAATCGTCTCAGAAATTATTGCGATAAACGAAAATATTGTTTGAAATTTGACGATAATTAGTAATTATCGTCAAATTTAAGAAGAAATGTTGGTTAATTTGTTTTAAGTGTAGTGCCTTTTTTTTACCACTGGATGGCAGTATAAGACTGTTTGAACTGAAGGATGGATAGTGAGGGAGCAAGCAGCGTGTCTCTTTAAGAAAAATGGGAGGGAGGCCCCTTGACGTGACATGGGCTGTCGCTTGTTCCTGTTTTTCAGTTCTCAAAACGACGGACGCTCAATGTTCTTTGAGCTCTTTAGCATTTTTCACACAAAGCTTTTAATTAAAAAAAAACTCAGTTCTCAGCTTCTTTTGGCAAAGAAAAACAATTATTTACACAAAGACACGTGTTTCAACCGTGAATTTTGGAACTTGGACAAGACGGAGGTGTTTCCCCGAGGGCGGCCTGTTAGCTTAGCTCGTAGCTTAACTTCTCAGCTTAGCTGCTTTTAACGATCCAAAAACGTGATTTTGGACGTTTAAAATGGATTTTAAAGTGAAAAGAGAAAGGGAGGGGTCAGTGAAGAGCACCGGAGTTGAACTTTTGTCATCCGGTGCTCTTCAGTAGAAAGAGAGAGACGAGGAAACGATAAAGCCGATAAATGAAAACGAGGTCGATAATTTTCATTTATCATGCGATTAATTGATTTATTGTTTATCGCAACAGGCCAAAGTCAAACACAGTAAACATCAGATTTACTCTACAACAAGTGCAGCTTCCTCATAGGCCTTTTCCCCGTACGGTTTTCCGATACGAGCGTAAACACGACCTGTCCTTTTTAAGTATTTTTAACTTTTTAAGCTGTATCGTCATGCTTTCCACAAAAGAATAAAGAAATAAAAGCGCTGTGGCGTTACCCGCTCGTTCGATGCCTCCAGTTGCGGTACGGATCGTAGAGGCTCTCGCAGAACGCCAGCGCGTGACGGACGAAGTCCTCCGCCTGACTCTGGTCCATCATCTCCTTCTCTTTGGTCCTGCTCTTTAGCTGAGACACCACACAAAGACCTTCTAGTGTCTCGGCCAGCATCTTTAAAACCGTACCTGATGGCACTAATGCAGGATCAGTGGCAAAAGACATGGCGGAGTCCTACCTGCTGGATGTAGAGCGTCGTCATGGTGATGATGTGATTGATGTAGGAGCACGTGCCGATCTCTTCAACGTTGGACAGGTTCCTTTAGGAAACAACGTTTAACACGTCAGTACGATCGTGGAAACGTTCCCCGGTCGCTGTGTGAGAACGTCGGTGCCGACCTGCAGACGACGATGAGGAACTTCAGCAGCAGCAGAGCCAGATGCTGCTGCTCGGGCTCCAAACCGTCCGAGGCCTTTTGGACGCACTGCAGCAGCTGGTGGCGCAAAACCTGCAGGATGTTGTCGGGCAGGAGCGACAACACGGGCGGAACCTCATCGGGTCTGGAGGCGTAAACGTGAAACGGTCAGCTAACGTTAACGGTTGTCGTTTGCGTGTACGATAACAAACGTGTGACTAAGTTCTATCAATAAAATCAATTATTCTATTTTAATAATAAAGATGCTGAAAGTGACCAAAACCACAGGTTGACAACTTTGGTCAAACGTGAAAAAATAAACTTTCATATGGTTCAGAATTCTAAATATAATGTAAAATAAATAATAAAGGAGCTGAAGCACGAGGAAACGACAACAATGGCTTCTCTAGCTTGGTTGGCAGATATTTAAAATAAACTGCGATCAGCTCCTGTCCTCGTGGATCGGTCACATCGTCACCGACAACCGGGCAAGACGTTTTCCCAATATCGGTACCGATACCAATATCGGATCGGTGCATCGCTACGACACCCGGTCAAGAACTTTTTCGATATTGGTGCCGATACCAATTTTAATATCGGTTCAGTGCATACATGTTTGAAAAAACTAAACAAAAACAGCTACATTATATATAAGCCTAATTAGTATTATAGTAGTAAGTATTTTTTATCATTCAACCTTTATTTATACAGATTAATCCCACTGAGCCTCAGGGACTCATTTACAAGAGACTTGAATATACACACACCATATTTACGACCTACAAGTCATAGTTTTTTTGCATAATTTACATGCCCTGCAACTTAAACACCAAAGCGACATTTACGTTTTTCCATATTTATCAGCCAATGTTTGACTGAGATTTGACCGATTTCATTCATTCTGACTGAAAATATTGAACACTACCATTTTCAGCCACTAGATGGCAGCAGAATAGTATGGCATGCCGTTGTAGTTAAAAGTGGCTATTAATGACAGAGTCAGCTTACCATAGACTGTCACCTTCGTCCAGCTCGCCTGGAGCAACTGTCAAATCAACTTCTTTTCGATGCGCCGCCCCAGAGAAACGCAACTAATTTGACCATTAAAGTGCGTTTATTAAGTAAAAGTTCAACTGAGACACCTTTACTATAATTTCGAGCAAACAAATAATTGATTTTAAGTGTTAATCTTGTTAAATTCTTGTTTAAGTCCTCCTGTGCACGCTGCCGCGGCCACCATTTGGCAGCCAATCGACTTTTGGCACATCGGCCCACATTTCCAGGTCGTGAGTGATGCGACGTATTTATGGATTTTTTTCCACTTTATTAGACATATCTGAACAGATGCAACTTATAGGGCAGAGCGATGTGTATGGCAGAAAATACGGAAAATATATATATAGTATATTGGTATATACTGGATAAATAGGTAGTGACGATATTTTAGGCCAATTTTATTTTATTTTATTAAATAAGCCAGTTTAGACTTCTTTAGAAAAGTAGAACTTTAAACATGAACCACTTTGGCCATGGCTGCCTCAGACGAGTCAATGGGGGAGAGAGCGGACTCCAGAAACCATCTCATCAGCATCAAACTGGTTGGCCCACTAAGTGAGGGTGCTGCTTGTGGGACTCAGTTTGCTGTGGCTCCTCGGACTGATGAAGTCCTTTGGATGAAGGACGAAACGTCCCAACAAAAAAATTAAATCTGCATCTCCATAAAGTTGGTCAGCAGCAGGAAGCAGGAAACTTCCTGGTAGACGGCTGCGTTGACCTTGGACCTCAGAAAACAGTGGACCAACACCAGCAGATGACATGGCCCCAAAGAGGAGGCCCATTCTGTGCCTCTCCTCTCTTCCTCCAGACTCTGGGACCTGGATTTCCAAAGGAAATGCAAAATGTACTTGCATCAGAGAACGTAACTTTGGACCACTCAGCAACAGTTCCAGGCGAGATGCTTATGATCCTGTCTCTTGTTCAAGAGTGGCTTGACACAAGGAATGCGACAGCTGAACCCCTTGTCTTGCATACGTCTGGGCGTGGTGGTTCTTGAAGTACTGACTCAAGCTACAGTCCACTGTGTGAATCTCCCCCACATTTTGGAATGGGTTTTGTTTCACCATCCTCTCCAGGGTGCGGTTATCCCTATTGCTTGTACACTTTTTTCTACCAAATCGTTTCCTTCCCTTCGCCTCTCTATTAATGTGCTTGGACACAGAGCTCTGTGAACAGCCAGCCTCTTTAGCATGACCTTTTGTGTCTTGCCCTCCTTGTGCAAGGTGTCAATGGTCGTCTAGTGGACAACTGTCAGGTCAGCAGTCTTCTCCATGATTGTGTAGCTACAGAACTAGACTGACACCATTTAAAGGTCTTTGCAGGTGTTTTGAGTTAATTAGCAGATTAGAGTGTGGCACCAGGTGTCTTCAAAATTGAACTTATTCACAATATTCTAATTTTCTGAGATACTGAATTTGGGGTTTTCATTAGATGTCAGTTATAATCATCAACATTAAAAGAAATAAACATCTGAAATATATCAGTGTGTGTGTAATGAATGAATATAATATACAAGTTTCACTTTTTGAATGGAATTACTGAAATAAATCAACTTTTTCATGATATTCTAATTTTATTACCAGCACCTGTAATATGCTTTCTTTTATTATTGTCAACTCTTTGTTAAATCAGGTCTCTTTTGTAAATGAGTCCCCGAGGCTCAGTGGGACTAACCTGTATAAATAAAGGTTGAATAAATGCATTTTCAACTAACTTGCCTTTGATTAATGATTATTAATTATTTTTGACTGCAGTTTGATAGCTAGCTTTTGTTTACCTTGAAAGCGGCTTTTCAAAGTCTACATCGAGACACTGCTCATATGAGCCGATGAAGATCTCCAGCCAGATCTTGAAGTAGTCTGGATCCCTCTGAGAAATGCAGAACCATGAGAGGAAGAAGCGAGGGAGACAAGAAGCCAGCGAGAAATGGCAGAAAGAAAGACAGAGGAGGCAACATTAGTAAGTTAGAAATAAATGACCAAGTAGATGAAGCTTCTTCACATCTGTATTTCAGCAACAGTAAGACATAATGTACACCATGAAAGATATACGTGTCAGAAGAAAGAGAAAGATCTGAGTAAAGATTAAAAACTGGTAAATCAGCAGTTTCTAAATTCCTTGAGCGATGCCGGAGGAAGGAGATTCCATCAACCACAAAGGAGGACAAGAATGAACTAAAAACTTAGACAGTCTGAACGTGACGAATCCATCCATCCAGTTTGACACCTTTCTGCCTTTCCGGGTCACAGGTGCCCGGAAGACACTGTGCAAGAGGTGGGGGACACCCTGGACATGTCTACCGTCCATCACAGGGCAAACCAGACTGACGGCCACTCGCACCTAGAGACAGACAACTCGGTTACCAATCAGTCTAACGTGTTTATGGTCTGTAGGAGGAAAACAAAGTACAGTAGTCCCTCACTTATCGCAGGAAGTATGTTCCAGATACCCCTGCAATAAGTGAAGGTACGGACATTATATTAATTTTAGTATTATATATATTTAAGGCTTTATAAACCCTTCCCACACTCTTGCAATGTTCTTAATGTTCTAAACTCTCTAAATGCTCTAAAAGAGCACAGCGTGTCATGATCTCCGCTCTCTGCCACGCCCACTTCTCCTACACAATCACACTCATCACCTGTGTCACTCCCAACCTCTCTCCTGCTGCACCTGTGTGCTGCACTCCTAAAGCGCTCCCCCAGTCCCTACCTCCCTGACAGACCGTCTGATCGTGCCTGAAGCATCCAGCATTCTTGTTCCTGCTCTCGTTCCTAAAGGCTCGGTTCAGTTGCACTTTAAATAATCCATGTCGCGCTTGTGTGGCTCACTCAGGTTTAAGACAGAACCCCCCCTGCCCCCTTCTTTCTTTTTCTGAGGCTGTCACAGCAGAGGAGATGCGGGCTGTTGTGTGTCTCTGCTCTGCTGTGACAGCCTCAAAAAGAGAAAGGAGGGGGTGGGGTGAGGTCTGTTTTTCCCCATTGTTTCTGTTGTGACAGCCTCAGAAAAAGAAAGGAGGGGTGGGGTCTGTTTCCCCCCATC